TTAATTATTAATTAAAATTTAAAAAATATTATAAAATATATAATTATTAAAATAAATAATATTTATTACTTTTTAATAATTTAAGTTTTTTAATTAGATTTTATTAATTATTAATTAAAATTTAAAAAATATTATAAGATATATAATTATTAAAATAGATAATATTTATTACTTTTTAATAATTTAAATTTTTTAGATTTATAAATATTATTAAAATATTATAAATTATGATATAATTAAATTATAAAAAATTAAATTTTAATAGATAATTTTATAATGATATTAAAAATTAAGTGTTTTATGTAAAATTCATAATATAAAAACTTTTAAAATGAAACTTTTGATTATATATATATAATTATTGTAGATTTTTTTGTAATTTTTTACAACATTTAAAAAAAATTATTAAACACATAAATATCTAAAAATATTATACTTATACATAAAAAAAATTTCCTAATTGTAATTTTAAACGCACGGTAAATCATTAGTATATTAAATGAAAACATTAAACCCCTATGTTTTTAATGTAAAAACTGGAGTGGGGAGGAATGAGATTTTAATGTTTATATTAATTACCAGGGGCAGCGTCATTTATCAAAAGTACTGGTGTAGTGGGCGCCCGAATCAACAGTCAGTCTAATAATGAAACAATCTTAGTGCGGTAGGTGGGACTGACACCAAAGATTAAAGTGAGGCAAAAGGGTGATGCATGATGATTTTACTCTCACGCTCCCCTCATGCGCGTTCACTGCACTACGCCTACTAATAAATTAAAATTTTTTGTAGTAATATATTTTATTTACTATCTTCGTACAACTTCAATTATTTTAACATAATATATAAATAAAAATTTAATTTTTTTATTAAATGAAATTATTTAATAAGAATTTCATATAAATAAAAAATTTTAATTGCCATTTATATATTTTATTCAAATTTTAAGTAAGATTCATGTTTAACAAAATTAATAAATTAAATTATAACAACTAAAATTAAATGCAAGAAACATTATTTTATTTTGGTTCATGGTTAATGAATTCCTATTTAATGTATCTAAGAGTTTCTATTTTGGCCCTTCACATCTTATTTTGAGTGTTTAGAAATAATAATGGTTCATTTTAATCGCGTATATTTAAGAAATATTTTAAACATTCACAATATTTATAAGTTTTAAATTCAACTCTCATCATATTTATTGTATTCACTTTTAGGAGAATAGCAAGTAAAATTTAGCAATCAAAATTAGAGACTTACATATATGATCTTAATTTCAAATCAAAAACTTTTTAAATTAATAAATTTTCACTAAAACAAACACTAATTTTAAAATTTGTTGTTTCCCTTACAAAAGGGACATAAAACAAAATTAAAAAAAAATTTAGTATACTTTTAAATCCATATAAACCATATAATTATTAACTCTTTGATTAAAATTATTTAGAAAAAGAAAATTCATCATTTTATGAATGTAAAATGGTAATTGATGAAGTTGAAAGTTCAAAATAATCCAAAGGGAGGTGTTGTGGTGTACACGGGAGGTGACTGCAAGTGGAAGTTGGGAAAGTTAACCAAGTAAACATATAGAGTGATAACTCATAAGATAAAAGGAGGAGTGGGGGGCGGGGGGAAGAGAGTTACGAACTATTGGGCAATGAGTTGTAACCCGTTTTGTCCGGGTTACCTGACCAAGGCCTGTCCACCTAGCACCTACCCTAGGCCTAGGGCTCCCTAATTGATGATGCCTCTGATAAAAGACCTGCTCCCTTTTTCATTCCTGTTACACTTTTGTCCATACCACTCCCCCTAATTCACATTTCTACCCCCCTACATACAAATTCCAAATGCCTTAAAAAAACATTTCATTAATGTAATTCGTTATTGCAGTCTTATCTGCCTTGCAATAAAAAAAAAAAAAAAAAAAACGTTGTGAATCAAAAACTTAATCCGAGTTGATGAGACCGTTGTCCCTGGGTAAAAGAACAAAACAAGCGAAGACAAGTTAATGTTAAAAATTAGATTGTCATCAGGAGAGAGTTTGAACTTTGAAGTAAAAATACATTATTGATTTATTGTTGAACAAATTTTCTTTTTATATTTCCTTCCTTCTAAAATAATAAATATTTTTTACTTAAAATTTGGCATTGATTAATTTTTTTATTTTATATCTTAAGAAAGATAAAAAAATTTCCCACTTTAACATTAACATTATTTCTTCATTTTAATTATTCATTATATTATAATTTTTATTTTTATTTTTTTAAATAATATAAGTAAAAATATAAATTACCTCTAAATTTCTAATCAAAAGATAAATTAAAAAATACCTATTATTTTAAAAATATAATGATATAAAAAATAAAAATTTAAGACTAATCATATTATTAAATAAAGTGATACAAATTATATCATGAATTTTTAATAAAATAAAATAATTAATTTTTAAATGTGATATCTTATATTATATCATTGTTTCTAAAATCTTCATTTCTTTTATCGTTATTCTCTTAAAACCGTTTCAACAAACATGATTAGTTGGATTAAATTAAAATTTTTTTTTTACAAACCCTAAAAGTCATTTTATTATTTATTTTAATGCAACAACTGCTACAGTTGCCTCTTGCCCGGAATCAATCAAGCAAAATCAATGTCCGAAGAAATTCTAAAACCAAGATCCATCTAATATTCTCGAACTTGGACAGTTTCCTCGGAATTGTTAATAAAAATGAAAATTAACATTGTAGAGCTAACTAACTTAGGCATGTTTGGTGGAGTTTCTTATAATTTTTATTTTTTTAATATTATTTTTAAGTGATAAATTTAAATTTTTATTTAAAAAATTTTTAAATTTATTTTTACAAATAAAAAAAAATGAGTAAAAAAAATTTATAAAATGTAAGAGATTTGTAATTTTTTAAAATTTACTGTTTAAAATCATTTTATGATTAAAAAAATTAAAAAATATAAATTTAAAAAAATTAAATTTATAAAACATAAATAATATTAAAAAAACTGAAGCACTTAAAAATAATTTCAAACATGCCCTTAATATTCACAAAAACAAAAGCAAAATAAAAACTAGGCCCTTTTTTTCATTCATTACCGCGTGTGGACCGGGTAGGGGAATTTGTATATATATTCTCGTTTTTAATACCGTGTCAAATAATCATTGTCCAATGATATGCTACTAAAATGGTTGTCCGCAAGACTTTCTCATCATCAACCCGTCACTTTCCTGCGTTAAATTATTAACCACTTTATGTCTTCCACCAAAAGCTTTCCTCTCCTTGCATTCTGCGTACTAATTAGACTCTGTTACCTTTACCTTTGTATTTTAGTCTCTGTTTCTTCTTTGAAACAGAGATTCCATTACATGTAAAACCTCAAGAACTTTCGTATGAGAACGGAGAAAACATTTTCACCTTTTAGTCTTTTTCAACGAAAGTAGCCAATTTTGGTCTATTCCTGTGGGGGAACTTACTCTCTTGTCTTGATTTCCATTTGATTATTTAGCTTCACAAGCTCTGAATTTTCATAGAATTTCTATATTCCACATACCAACAAAACTACAGAATTTGAGAGATACAGAGGGAGGAGAGATGGGGGGAGAGGAAGACGAAAGATCAATCGAAGTAACCCCAACGTGGGCAGTGGCTACAGTTTGTTTCATCTTGATTTTGATCTCCATCATTATAGAGCATTTGCTTCATCTTTTAGCTAAGG